TATATATATATATATATATATATATATATATATATATATATATATATATATATATATATATATAATAAATTGTATTTCCTTTAATAGAAATCAAAATAGTCGACGGTTTATGACAAGTTAGGGTATACTATTGGTTTTGAGATAAAGTCAATAAATTTGGACTCGATGCATCATCTAATACATTTCAGGGTAAACAGTGCTTGATGTGATCTATTTACAGACCATACATCGCGTAGTAATCGATTGTTTGCTCAAAAAATAAACTTGTGATTTTTCAAACATAAATCCACCGCGAAATAAAGGTGTGTTCTTTTTAAATTAAAAGGAACATCATGACCGCGCGACTCAAGTTGCCAAGTTACCATCGCTGTGTTTATTTCTGGATAATCAATCCAGGATATACGTGACCGAAACCGGGATAAAAATAATACTACTTGGGTGATGGCGCGACTAATAGGTCGTTACTCTCTTGGTGTGGTCTCTTTGTGCTCAAATGACCCTCTGTTTTATACACAACATGTTATCGCTAACTTGAACTAATTTCCCTATTGGCCATATGTACATTTTTGTCTTTTCAAGATAGGGTTTCTAAAGTTATATTTGATCAAAAACATGTAGTTCCAATCATCCTATTTGTGTTGTTTACATAGAAGTCTAATTATGATATTAATAAATTTTCATCACTATAATATCATACTATAATATACGGTATTATATTGCATTCACATTGAGTGCGAAATCTGCCTGCAAAACATACCAGTATGATAAAGACTTTTGGAACTTTGTCAGACATTTCAGCTAATGCTGAGCATCAGTTACACTATATTTATACCATAATTTCACACATGATGTTATATTGCATTTAAATTGTTGAGTATGAAATTATAACACAAATATAATGTAACCGATGCTCAGTGATTGGAACGTCTCACAAAATTCCAGAAGTCTGTTACAGTGGTATGTGGAATTACTCATCCCATGACTAACTTAAATTTGTTTTATGTATAAAATATATCCACACACATATATATATAGGATGAATCATCTATTGTTAAACTTTAAAATATTTGTTTTTTATATTAGAAGAAAATATGTAAAGAATAAATTGTATGGTTAGAAAGGTTTGCTGACAACAATATTTATCCCTTTCAATCACATAATTTATTCCTTATCTGTTTTCCTTTTATATAACAATAATAGATTAGAATCAACAATAATAGTTTAGAATCTAACATTAGGTGCCTTACACTGTATATCATGAAATATAATTCTCCTTACATAAAACAAATTTATACCTTGGTCTTTTGTATTTACAAGTATCTATTTCATTTGAAACAAATATCATTTTCTCAAGAATTATTTCTTGAAAATTTGCAACATTTATACACTCGTACGAGCACTTGCCTATCTCTTTAAAATCGTCCTACTTTTCCTCGCACCTTTCGTTTTCCTCGTTTCCACTGTATCGCCTGTTACCTACGGCACTGCGCCAGTTTATGGACGTTTCACGTCAATAGCACTTTTTACCCACAACACATAACCTAAATAAGCAATATTCCGTTGCTATTTAGTCATTTACGTGACTCATTCGGTTTTGTCAAGACTCTTTATATATTCTCCCGAATCGCACATGTCTCAAATTGTGTTAACTATAGCCGAATGACAATGGCGGCTCTTCGTGAAGAAGACTGTCAAACTGTCGATGTTTCACATATTTGGATTTAGTTTCGCGGGAGGGTTCGACTCGTTCGATTATTCGCAAATTAAACGAGAATCAGAAACACGAGCGTACTTACCCGACTGAACGGAATAAAGACGGAGATCTGATAAACAGAGGCTCGAAAGTAGGACGAAGCTGAACCTCACGATGTATACTGTGAGTCACGTTACGCGTCACTCTGTGGTCATTCACCACACCCGGCCAACTGGCACCATCTGTTGGAGGCCGTGGAAGAATAAAGGCGCGAACCACGAAAGCATATTCAGGCCAGAGTCGGTTTCAGGATTGTGCAGATATTTTGTGCATAAGGTGTTTGCGAGTAGTCGATTTCTCACTCAGTTAGGACTTATTTGAATAATTTTGAGTTGTTTTTTTAATGGCAAAAATGTTGAGACGATACTGTGTCGTTAGTAATCAAGAATGATGGAAAATTTTATATTTCGCATTTCTCATGGAAATTTACGTGACTCTTGAGTGAAATTTAAATTCATACTTTCTTACAAACAGATTTCAAAAATTCTTAATAGAAAAAATTCGACAGGACAAAAAATTGCAGAATATCGATGATACCATTATTAGTAACAAAGTGTAATTTTATGCGGGCTTTTAAGAAAGAATATTTTTCTAGTGACAATTTAGATAGTTAATGAAATAAACAGAGTATATTCAGTTTATAAATTTCTGGGGTATGATCTGTAAATGATCACAGCCCTGAATCGAGAATCGCTTCCATACTTGGATTAACGTGTCTCGCGCTGACTCACAGCCATATAAGGACACGAGAAAGAGACTAATCGTTTTGTAATCTCTCGCGATGGTGGCGGCAGTAAGCGAACTCTCGATATTTTTGCCAAGAAAGGATCAGCTCCAAAGTTCGTCGAGGAATCGTCATTAAAGATCTCGAACACTCGTTTCTTTCTAAAATATTTTATATTACACATATAAAATACTTATCACTTAAAACGATATTAAATTAACGTAAGTAAGAACACAAACTTGCAGTCCTGATTTCTGGAATTCTGTGAGGACAGAGCGAGATAACGCGACGCACAGTGGTGTAAAGTAAAACAAGAGCATTGGTCTTTTTATTTGCACGATCGTGAACTTACGCTACAACGTTCCGTTTGCGAGTAGTGAACCTAAACGATCGATACATCGTATATACAGAATCGTACACGTAGTTGATCCTCGGAGATGAAATCTCGTCGAGAGGACGATCATCCTCAGTGTGCAACTCTTTCGGACGTCGTAACGCGCGAGTCCGTGTTTTCTCCGCTGCTACGCGAATTATTTACATAAATCGTCACCACTCTCTCGACGCGCGGTAACATAAATAACGACAACAAGTTCTTGGGTGTTTTCTGTACACGGAGCGCCGTATCGAAAACGGCGGGAATTGCGCGACGATCCTTCGAGATTGACAACAGTCATCTCCGATCGCTCGATTCCCGGCGAAGTCGAAATCGGCCGATGGAATTTCAAGCTATCGCACAGACACTCCGTTGATAGTGATCCCGTTCCTGTTGGAAACCGGTTCGGCTTCGTAGTGTCCGGATCTGCCGTACATTCTTCTTGGATGGCCGCCGTACCTGTTACGAACGTCGCGAAATTAGACAAAATTTCCATATGGCGGTGAAATTATTTAAGTAAAAGCCAAATTACGCTTGTATTAAATTACCCATAATTTATCTTCTTTGTACACTTTTATTCCGAATATATTCAGTAAGCAAATGGAATATTGAGACCGAAAATGAAATCCAAATTTCGGATACATAGTATTTTTTAAATAATTATAATAAGGATCTCTTCACAATATATCGATGTAATATATTTTTGTAACTCACCTGTACGCGTTACCGCCTAAACTATAAGGATTATCATAGAGACCATCCTCGGGGACGTTTTCGTACATGGTATTATGCGTGCCGTCATTCAACGTCGCGTAAGACATAACCGCGGCATTTTGGTCTTCTTTCCTTTCCGCCGCTTGAACGTTTTCAGTATTCTTTACCGGCGTAGCTTTTCGTCTGTAAATATCAATCAATGTTTTAGCGCTCGATTAAAGAGCCTCCTGTTCGAGATTAGCTCAAATTTCCAAATCAAAATTAAATAATACGTTCATTAGCTTCATATGCGGTTATCTTAAAATATGAGTGGTTTGGAATTATTTTCGAAAGAGATAGATTTTATTCGAGAAACGATACTCACAGCCTGAGATAGACTAGTCCGAGGATGATTAATATAAATATAATAACACCAGCTCCGATGCCAACGCTGGTGCCAACACCTTGAGCCTCCGCCACCTCGTTCGCTGCCACTGTGACACGAATAACATATATCATATCGGGTATTTCTGTCACGTTTCTAATTGTTCTCGGAGTCGTACGTCCGCGGGATATTAAAATAAATAATATATGATTTGAAGCTGTGTGTATGTGTGTTTCCTCTTATTAAAACGAGAGAATTGTCGAATATCTCCTGGAAAGCAGGAGAGTTAGTCGATAGAATTTGGAAATTATTTGCATTTAGGATGTGACACATGTTAAGTGTTAGACATATTTCTAAAGAATACATTATCTTCAGTTGATTTACGTTCGCATTTGGGCTCGTCGCCACTCCAGAATCCCGTGTCCAAGCATTTCCTCAGGAATATGCCGACCCTCTCGTACTGCGGTAAGCAGTGATACTCCGCGGCTCCCCCGTAAGTCGTAGATCCATTCACTACAATCACTCTACCGTTCTCTATCGATCCGGGATGCTTGCAATCGACCGCTGAAAAGATACCACGAATAAATCTTGAATCGTTCCAATCGCGTTTACTAGTAACAACGATACCTTTGGTAGATTACTTGATCTATGGTCGGTAAATATCGTGATACTATCAGAGGGATGCTCGGAGAAAAATCAGAAGGACTTTTAACGTTAAAGACGGAAAATAATATCGTTGATGAGGAAGAAGATCCTTACAGAAGCAAGCAGGTGTTGTACCGCTCCAGGATCCATTTTGCAAACATATTCTTGTCTCATTTCCTTCCATGTAAAATCCACGTGGGCAGCTGTAGTGCGCCACTCCGCCTACACTGTGGGTCAATACCTGGGTCGATAGTACACCGTTTTTCTCCGGGTCCCTGCATCGGATTTCTGTCGCAAAATTGCGCGTTATGCATAATCAAACGTTCATGATTATCCATCTTAACCGCGCGAGATACACGAAATTTCGTCTTTTTCTCTGAATGTGATTGAGAAGTTCAATATATCCAGCTAATTACCTCGACAGACCGGAGTGTCGCTACTCCAGGTGCCGTTTTCAAGACACAGTCTTCTGGCGAAACCGTCTAGCTCGAAATTACCGTCGCATTCGTAAAGTGCAGCTGCTCCGTAATACGTTGCATTCGATGTCAAGGTGTAACGTCCGTGTTGAATGTGCTCAGGCTTGCCACAATCGACATCTGCCAACAAAATGTGTTGATCGCATTTTTCACATTTGTTTTGTGCTTTCAACGTGAAAGAAACATAACGACCGATATTGCATAGTCTTGCAAAAATCTTCTACAATATTTTATAGCATTATTTCTAACGAAACTTATCGATTATTCGACTTATTTATTATTAAAAAGATTAAAAGGTTTTGAGTGGTTAAAAAATTATAGTCGTTATATTTTTATACGATCTAATGCACAATCGACTCGTTAGGATACGATTTCGTTGGGATTCGATAATCTTTGGAGGCTTACAGACGCATTGCGGCACTTCGCCGCTCCACTTTCCGTTCTCCTCGCAGGTGGACAGAGGCTCGCCGACCACCTTGTATCCCCTCTCGCATCTATATTTTACCAGGGCTCCAATTTTGTACGAAGTCGCGCCTGTATTTGAATTCTCCGCGGTTCCGGTGCGAATCAGTGTTCTTCCGTACATCCGATCATTTCCCGTTACCGAAAGGATTCCGTGTTCCGCTAGTACAGGTTCCGGGCAACGAATCTCTGAAATAGAATGTAACATGATCGCATTACTTAAATAGAAAATACGACGTGTAATTAGGAGAAATTCATGTTGAAATTTTTATAGTGCATATAGAATTTTCTGAAAGTTTCTATAAAAATACATCGTATGTTAAACCAATTTTGAAATTGTATTATATAAACTCAACCACGTATTTTACAAACTCTGTTTAAAACGGGAACCTAAGTATCTTTCCTGTTAATGTCGCTTTTAAGAATTTTAAAGGAAAGTATAACCTTTATAGAGAGAGAGAGAGAGAGAGAGAGAGAGAGAGAGAGAGAGAGAGAGAGAGGGAATTCTGCGACCGCTCGGGGATCGTTTTATATTTATATTTTCTTATGTATTTTTTTCGTAAAACATGATGATTTTCGGTTTCTATGAAAAAAAATACATAAGAAAATATAAATATAAAATAATCCTCGAGCGGTCGCGGAACTCCCTCTATAAAGGTTCCTCCTTTGTTCAACTTGCGTTTAACGACCTCTCCCGAAGCAATTACCTTCGCATTTTGGAGTTGCGTCGCTCCATTGACCGTTGTCCAGGCAATATCTTCTGGATACACCGTTTAGTCGGTAATTTCTCGTACAGCTGTATGTGATTTCGCTGCCAAGATGAGTCGTTCCGTTCGCGTATTCCACGGCGCCGTTTAGAACCGGAAGAACCTTGCCGCAATCAATGTCTGCGCGATAATTATTCCAGTCAACACAATCTTAAAAGTAGTTGGCATTGTCAAGTCATAATAATTGATAATTTTCGAAATATAATTCTTCTAATTGAACATCAACAAGTTCCGGAATGTTTTGAAAGGTAATATTTCGTTCAAAGTAAAGGTCTGCCATGGCGCGAATATGACCTTGATCGCGTAAATCGCTCCTTTCATAATTCGCAGTGATTATGTCATTTCTGATTTCGATGAGAGA